CATGCATAATAACTTATTTATAATTACGAAATGGAAATCAAGAATCACAATTGATTAACTAAAAGATTGCAAATGGTATTTGGGTTCTAACTAAATCAATAATTACTCGCTCGGAGGCAACTACAGGACAGAGCTCCCGAAAGTAGTATAGTGGCCTAGATATACAAAATATAGCCAAATAAAAAAAATTGACAAATCAATGAACTTTGCAGTCGTAGTGAAAAAGCGTGTCGCTCATTCTCGGGTAAGAAGTCCCGATTTTGTAAAATAAGCTAAAAAAAGATGCATTTTGATGTTTAAATTGTAAGATGTGCACGTGCAAATGAATGTGCTTGGAGTAGTTTGAAGCTAAGCAATTTATTAGCTAAGTGAAGGTTTGGGCCAGATAATCAAAAGATTAGCACCACATGTATAGGATGTCTAATTCTAAATACAAACAGCGAGGAGAGAGCAATAAGGCTCATGTCGGAATGCCATAATTTATCAAGTAATGCAATACAATCCAAATACCGGCTTTTGAAATAAGTGTTTACGCGTAGGCACGTGGAAATAAAAACGGATGCACAAACCAAGAAGACAGTGCAAAAGAAGCACTGGAGCATTATGCTTGGCTATAGAAAAGTCACGAAAGATGCTCGATGGCATGATCGTAGAATGGCTCCTCCAAGAGCGAGAATAAAAAGTGAAAACATCATTATGCCTTGGCTGTAAAAGCTCACGTTCAAGTCATTCTGAATCGTCATGTATGAAACACAAGGAAGGTCATATACTATGATAATTAAAACGAGGCCATCTCACTGGATTGGTCATAAGAGCGAAAACAATACCAAAAAATACCGAAAGAGAGCCTGATACAAAGCTCAAAATAAATCGGATTCTTATCGTTGCAATTGAGTTGAAAACTGGATCCAGGATCCGCTTATTAAAAATGAACACAAGATTACTAGCCGGTTTGCTATGTAATCATACTTACATACATACACAGCTAGGTCAAAGCCAAAATGACTTTTAGAAACAGATAATAAAAAGGCAAACAATTTTAAACAAGAATCCAATATCGAATGTCTAGGACAGGAGATCATCATCGAAAAAGGGGCCGATTGAGTTTGCTTTGTTGAACGTAGTAATCATGGAAATACATCATGATGGCAAGGGGCTGTCCAATTATGAGGCTGGTCCAAAGCGCAATATTGCCCATTTGGCCACCACTGGGCCAAAGCCATTTGATCAAACGAGACAAAGGGATCTGGAGGAACATGCCCGAAAAGGCCCAAATTCGAGGCATTTTTAGAGGCACTGAGACAAGCAACTCGTGAAAAAAGGCGCTCAACAAGAATACCACGATGCTGGCCATTTGGCGAGATAAATTGTAATTCCGTAAAGGAACATATACGTGCCTGAAGAGAATAAAATATAGTGAGTAGTAATGAGAAGATAAAAAGAAAAAAGTTTAGTTATAATAGCCTCGTTCTATTAACAGAATTTGGTTTCACATATTGTAGGCAGGAAAACTGGAAACATATAGTATATTATAGATTTCGACAGTTGAACCACACCAAGAGAACTATAAAAGGATCGTATGAATGATAAAAGACAAGCTCTTTCACATCAAAGCTCCAAGATAGGTGTTAATTATAACAAGGCGTTTATCCAATAATCCAGTAATTTTTGACCAAAATCTACAGTTGGTTTGAAGATCACTGGGAAGACAGAAGAACCGATATATTATGACTAAGAAATGAATAATCTTAATTAATAATATGATTATAAACGCAGCGAAAACATTAAAGTACCTGAGGCACCATCTGTGGACAGGGATATTCCAGGAGGACCAAAAAGCGTTAATATTTTCAGAATTCCTGTATTAAAATGGATAAAATATGGTAATGTTGGTGCATAAATAAGATCGAAAAGTTTGCTGATCATATAAATTCGAGTTTCAATAAATGTGGACAAGAAAGCTTTCGAATCCACAAGTAGCATCAAAATCTTGGTCCACATGTCCAGAGAAAAAAACACTAATTGAATATTGGAACGAACTCCCTAATAAATATAATCTTAGAAAATAAGAAAAGCAGTGCTCTGTTCGGATAGGTCAAAGGATCAAAAAATTTCCAATTTACAGATAATTTTATTATTTAACGCACCGATAACATGAAAATAGTGGGCAGTTCGAGATTTGGTATTCTTAGTGATGAATTAAAAGCTCATGATAGCAGACGCTTAACATAAAGATCATCATTTTTTAAGGGCTCGATGCAGCAAAGACATGCTATTGTAGATCAGGATATGGAAGAGTAAGACCGTCTAAGAAAACGAATGTGACGAGCTAGGCTGGGAAATCGTCATGATTCACACTTCTGATACTTGAGTACCCACAAACAAACGTTTATGATCGGTCTCTAAAACCGATCGACCAATGCGCTGGACATGAGTAGATGATTAGGGCTCAACTTTTTTATATTAAATAAGAGAGGGACGGTCTTTGCAGTTACTCTCTCGATAGATCTTGATTGTGCAATGAGTGAACAAGTGAAAAAAAAGAAAGATAAAACGTGATAAAACAGAGGCCTATCGAGCGAGAGCAGGGTGAGCCACATTTAGCAGAAAAAACTATTTGCTACGAAGGCCTGATCACTCACAGATCAGTCGAAGTTGACGAGTGGATAGTCAGCATGGATGTAGAGAAAATAATTTGATTTAATACAAAGGCCAGAGGTAAAAGGTTTAATGCAGGTCTCTATAGCTTGAGTGAAGCTTTGAGGTAAGGATAGTAAATCGCAGATGAAGTGGCTTTACCAAACTTGTCAGTCGTTCCCTT